AGATTTTTATGTTTTTCAACCCAAAATTTTAATGTTTGTAAACCAAGATCATGTGGAATGCTTGTGTAGAGATTTACATTGTCACAAGTTAATATAACACTATCTGAATCCATTATTCTAGGAATTTTTCTTAAAAAATCCCAGTCATCTTTTACAAAAGTCTTTTTTTTTTTACAATAGGAGATAGGATTATGTGAAGAAGTTGGCTTAGATGCGATGTTGGTGAATCTATACCAGCAATAATGGGCCGACCTTTTAAATCTTATGGTGGTTTCATTTCGATAAATAGAGAGCTAGATTCTTGAACCTTTTTAATAATTTCATTGCATTTATGAATTTTAGGGATTACATAAAATGTACTAGATTTCCATTCGAAATTTATGATATAATCAATTTCGTTTTGTGTTAAACATTTATGTTTCGCAATCATTTTTGAAAGATTTTTGTCAGAGTCAATATTCGTTTTTTCATATGTTGTTAAAGAAAATAGGTGATCTTGATTAACTAGTTTGTCTTTATAATAGGTTGAATCCATTATAACTAAGGTGTTACCTTTATCTGCTTTTTTAATAACAATATCTTTCATTTCTTTGAGTTCTTTTAAAGCAATCCTTTCTTGTATTGAAATGTTGTCAACTGATTGAATTTTTATTGGATTTATTTGCTCAATTCTTGAAATTATTTCACCAAGTTCAGGTAGAGTTGTTTTAATATTATATTTAGATTTTTTTTTTACTATACTAATATCGTTATTGTGTAATTCAAAAAATTTTTCTTTTAATTTAAGTTTTACGTATGAACTGCCGAATGTCTGATTTTATATGTAAAAAATTTCCTTTTGTAGCTGGACAGAATTTGAGTCCTTTTGTCAGAAGTGTTATTTGGGAAGTGGTCAGGTGCTTGGTGGATAAGTTGACGACCTTAGGTTGTATTTTTTTGGTATTGTGTTTATCCAGTTTTTTGAAGATAAACTTTCTGATATATGGTTATCATTACTAATATCATTTGATAAAACGTTTTTAACATTGTTGCTGTTTTCTTTTTCAATGACATTTTTTGAACTCTTTAAATTTATATATGGAAAAACAAACAATTTAAAAAACCGCACAAATGGACATATTTCCAGTTGCAAAACTGGCAATTCAACAGATAGATTCGACAATCATGTATATGATTGCAAGAAAGTACGCAAAACAACTACGGAGCCATTTTTTCAGCTTTATGTTTTTCTCGAATTAAAAAATGAATATAATTTATTGACCTATGAAAATTATCTGCATAAACAAAAACATGACACCTTCAACTAATACTTCCTTTTATAATAACATAACAATGGTAACTCATAGTTACAAAAACTGCTATTAAATACTTCTATTATATAACTTTTTACATAAATCAAAATCATGATAATTACATTTGCAATAGTACTACTGATGATCAATACTGAAAGGCCTCTAGTACTATTTAATATTTTCTTAGTAGTATTTTAATATAAAAAATTGATTCATTTTTTGAATATTGTTGTCTTGCTTGGCTTCTTTTTTCTTCATATTGTTTTAAATAAATTGCTTGCTATATATATATATATATATATATATATATATATATATATATATATATATATATATATATATATATATATATATATATATATATATATATATATATATATATATATATATATATATATATTTAATAGATCAACAAACGCGGGTTGCGTCAGAAAAAAGTCCCTCAAAAGGTTTACGTGGGAAAACATTGCGAAATATTTTACCTAAATGGTTAGGCAGTTGGAGACAAAAATGTTATGATGTCTTACATTACCAGATCTAACCATTTACTCTGGAAGACCTTGCTTCAAGGAAATAGAGAAAATTTTGATCTTTTAGAAATTCTCACATCTAAAGTAGGGTTGTTCGCTGATGATACTACCAATTATTCTTTTCATGATGCTAACACTCTCCAAACTCTCCAGTAGAAGAAACCAACACCATCCAATTGCTCGGAAGGGAATTTTGAATTTGAAAAAGATTTCACTTTTGCTACAGCATGGGGCTCTCAGTGGCAGTTGAACTTTAACTCAAATAATTGTTATTGCAACAACCTAAATCTTTCTTTATTTATGAACGGTAATGTATTTGATGAGCCATTTACTCTTCATTTTCTAGGATTTTTTTGGCTCTTTCTTCCAATCTTTCTTGGAAACTATACATCAAATCCATTACAATTAGCGTCTACCAAGATTACTTCTGTTTATAATTTTCTATTTTTTATCTATAAATCTCAAATCCGTCCTTTTGTGGAATATTGTTGCCATATCTGCAGCAAATCTTTAAATGACGCCCTTTCTCTTTTAGACAAGGTGCAAAAACGCATTTTAAACATAGTTGCACCTGTTCTTGCAGCCAACCTCAACCATTGCAACATCGTCGTAATGTTCCTTCTCTTTCTCTTTTCTATAAATACTATAATGGGCGCTTCACTAAAGAGCTAGTGTCTCTTGTGCTATCAACTGAAATTCATTTTTATGTTACTCGTCATTCAATTAAGTCTCATCCTTTTACTGTAACTGTTTCTAAGTGCTCCAAAAATTCTTATATTGGATTCAAGGAGACTGAACTAGCATTACACGCAAGAAATTCTTTTCAAAAAAGACAATTTTTTCCATATTGGTAAGAAAGACAGAGAAATAATTACTTTTTTTGTAATAAAAAATTAAGTAAACATCTACATAAAGTAAAAATGTAATTTACTTCACATCACTGAATGAATATCAACAATAATTGTTACAGTAAGTAACTGAGTTGAGAATAATTGTTACAGTAAGTAACTGAGTTGAGAATAATTGTTACAGTAAGTAACTGAGTTGAGAATAATTGTTACAGTAAGTAACTGAGTTGAGAATAATTGTTACAGTAAGTAACTGAGTTGAGAATAATTGTTACAGTAAGTAACTGAGTTGAGAATAATTGTTACAGTAAGTAACTGAGCTGAGAATAATTGTTACAGTAAGTAACTGAGTTTTGTATAGATTGAATTTACAAGCCACTGCAAGATTTGTGTTGTCACAAAAGATAAATCAGATTCAAAATCAGCTGCTTGTTCAAAGCGATTAAAAAATGATGGCTTTTAATCAAAACGTAAGTATATAATTGCGTCATTAGCGAAATAGACCCACTGATAAAATTATTAAAAAAATCATCAGTTTAAACAAGGAACAACACATTGTATTAAGTATTTATGACTACTCAATGTTTTAAATTAAGTACATAACTAGTTACAATAATATATTCTATATTACACAAATAGCGTTTACATAAGTCAAACAAGCAAAAAGAAGGGGTATACCAAGCAGTTAACAAAAACACATATGGAAGAAAGCATGACAATGCAGCGCGGTAATTATACAAACCTATTGGTTATTTGCGGTATGCCAAATAGACTTCAACACTTCTGTAACTAACGATGAATTGTCTTTTCTTTAATTAAAGTGACAGTTATTATCTTTGCTTTGTTATAATATTCGGTAGGATATTTTTTGTTAATGGTTGACTAACTAAACACGATTTTCCATTTTCTTGCAAGTAACGTACTTTAGCAACACAAACAACACCATCGTTAGATCATTTTAATTCTTCAATGCGTGCAAACTTTCACAACTGTTTTTTGCAATTATAGCTTTTAACACTATGTTATTTAAACCAAGGACGTATGGTTGGAATCATTCTTACAAATCAGAAGCACCGATAAAAACCGAAATCTTATGGTGTTTTAAATTTTTAAAATAGTTTTGTTTTAAATAATTTTAAAAAATAAACCAACATTTAACGAGATTTTTACTTTGCTAAACTTTTTTCTTTTAATACACTAACTTTTAGAAAATATAAATGCATTATATGTAATTAAATTAAGAATACCTAATGTGCTTGAAAACCTTTTAGTTACTATGTAAGCTTTGTTTAATAAAAACTTATTTGTAAAACAACTTTAACGTCAAAAAGTTTTTTGTAAAAGTTTTTGTAAAATGTAAAATATCTGATATACAAAAATAAATACTGTAAAGTGAAATTTTTTACGAGTTGTAGGTCACATCATAATTTTTTATAGATTGAACTAGATTGTTTGAAATCCAAACTCTCTATAGCTAGATTTAACAAACCTTATAAAGGTTTGAATTAAGATATTTCTCATTTTTGACGGAAATCAAAACTTTTTTTTCTTACAACTTTGTTTTGATATTTTTCGGTAAGCTGCTTAATATACCTAAAGGGGTAAGTTGATCAACCTTCTCCAACCGGGTAATTTAAAAAACTGTGTAATTACAAGCTGTATTGGCGCAGTTTCCAACTGAATAAATTATTTTTTTAATTGTTGCTGACCAATATCGATGCGATGTTTGTTGATCACTACGCCTGCAAATTATGTGTTGCCTTGATCATTATGTTGCTTGCCTTGATCATCAGAGTAGCTGATATTAAAATTCCATAGATGACATATATTTTTTATTAATATCTGATTTCTTAAATTTGCTTTGCAAAGAGTTGATATACTTTGAAATGTTGATATACTTTTGAATGGTCTCCGACACCAAAAATACCTACGGGCGCTATTAATAGTCAAAATTTATATATTAAAATTTTTCATGACGTTTGGCGTTGAATTTTTATATTGCTCATAGTAATATCAACAAAACCAAACTTTAAGTTTATTACAAAAATATTTGTGCTACTACATAAAACATCATTACCAATACCACCACCATCACCAAGGTTGTCGACATATATGATGTTATATATGTTTTTTAAAGTTTTAATTTTTTATTAATTTATCAAACTAATAATATTTCTGAATGAAATTTTTGTTAGCCCTATGAAGCAACTGGGCGGATTATTGAAGAGTATTTTTCATTTTGAATAATCAATTTATATTTCGAAATCTCTATGATAACATCAACTGTGTTTATTTCATCTAAAATTTTGTTAAATTCGCTACATTTTTTTTTTGTCAGTTGTAAATCAAATTGAAAAAATAATCAAGGAAGAATAAGAGAATAAAGGAATATAAAAATCAATAAAAAAAACACAAAAAGATTCAATTTTTTAGGTAAATTGTAATAATTTTTTTATTCTAAAAAAATAGTTGAAAGATTTTCATTGGTTTTCCCTGCAAGTAAAATAGAGTTAAACAAAAATGCAAATCTATGTATTAATACAATAAATATCGATATAATAAATATCAATATAAAAAATATCGATATAATATATATTGATATAATATATACTGATATAATAAAGCAATAATAAAAACTATATTGATAACTTTCATTTTGGTATAAGTATGTGTTATATGTATTTCTTTTAGTTATTTTATTTAATTATGACATAGAATGTATTATGTTTTTTACTTAACTATGCCCAAAGTTAATTATTTTGAAAAATTTGATTATATATATATATATATATATATATATATATATATATATATATATATATATATATATATATATATATATATATATATATATATATATATATATATATATATATATATATATAATAATAATGATAATAATAATAATAATAATAGTAATAATAAGATGATAAATAATAATAATAGTAATAGTAATTGAGCTGTGGCATAAAGCGGAACTGACAAAATGAATATGGTCAACTATGACTACTGAACTGTATATAAAGTTTCAAATTGTTTTCTCATAGGCATCATAACTGTTTTTAAACGAATTAGTAGTTTTGTAGTTTTTAACTGCATCCGGAAGTGTATTCCAAAATTAACCACTCTATTTAAGAAAAAGTATTCTCTTTGAAAACAGTTATTTGTGAACTGTTTGATTAGTTGTTCCTTATTTTTCCTAACTGCACCTGCTATATATATATATATATATATATATATATATATATATATATATATATATATATATATATATATATATATATATATATATATATATATATATATATATATATATATATATATATATATAATAAAGATGCATCAAAAGAAATTTTAAATGCAATAAAAAAATGGTGCTCACGATTTCAAAATACATGCGGGTGCATAAAAGTGTGCCTCATAAATTTTTTGATACTATGTAATTTAGTCATTTAAAGGTGGAAACCGTGCAAAAGCTATTTTAAGAAATGAAATCAAGGAGGTATAATCAACTGAAATTGATAAAAGATAAATTGAAAAGATAGGGATTAAAATCTCTTTAGGAAGTGATTTACTAAATTTTTGGTGGAGCACGCTGTTTAAGAATGCAATACACAATAAACAAAATTTTAATCCCTATACATCTAAATATACTATCTAAATAGTTTTTGACATGCGATCCTAAAAAATACATTTAACATATATAATTTGAATAGCTTTGTATAATCTATTATTTACAGAGCATGCGTATATCTCTGCATGTTATTAATTGTATAAGTTGTAAAACCTGGTGCATTCAGTTAAGGGTTAATTAAAAATTAATTTAAAAATGTTTTTAGGCGTTTAAAATTTTTTTTATAAATTTATTATTAAGTTAAATTGTTTTTTATTTGTACTTGTATTATATTTGCATATCTCATTTTTATTTTTTTTATTTATTTTTTGTCAAGCAACCATTTACAATTAAAGGTAATTTCGTATAAAATAATTAAAAATATTAAATACAAGTACATTTCATTATTTATAGTAGTTACGAGACCTGAGAACCTGAAGAAGATAAAATCTTATCATCAGTAACCTTTGATAATAAAAATTGGAAACAAAAGTGTGTTGTTAAAAAAAATCATGTAAAGAATCTTGATTGGCAATAAGTTCAATTATGTTCTTTTTAAATTTTTGAGAGGTATTGGCTTCTTTAAGTTTACCACTCAGGCTTGTAAAATGGTTCCATATCATTGGGCCACGATAGGAAATGGCAAAGCTTGTAAGTTTTGATGTACGGAAAGGTTTTCTAAATCCTCCGATTGCGTGTTCTATCGGTTTAATGTTTTATGGAAAATATTTTCGAAAACCTTCGGCGTTTTTTTTGACTGATGTTGAAACATAAATTGTGTAATTTTGAAAATATTTAATTCACAAATATCGAGTGCCCTCATGCTTTTTAGCAGAGGTTTAGCATTTGTGAAGCGATTTTGAAAATGAATAATGCGTGCTGCGTGATTCTGTTGTTTAAGGAGACAGTCGAGTTTATATTTATTGGTACTACCCCAAACAATATTACCATAAGATAAATAACTATTTATGAATGCAAAATATAGTTGAGTTAGTGTAGATTTGTCAAAGATTTGTTTGGTTTTATATAAGATGCCAATACTTCTTGAGATTTTATTGCTAATTTGTTTAATATGATAAGTTTTTCTCCAGGATAAGTTTTCATCTATTAAAATACCTAGTAATTTATTTGTGAATGAGCGCTCAATTTTGATGTTATTTACATATAGAATTGGTAAAGATTTTGGAATAGATTGAAACTTTCGTTTAGAATGGAATATGGAAAACTTAGTTTTATCAGTGTTTAAAGATAGGCTGTTAGCGATAAGCTAGTTTGATATTTGTTCTAGTTCATTATTTGCATCTTGAAATAGAGAGATAATATTACTGTGAGAATCGAATAAAGTGGTGTCGTCTACAAACAAATAGTAGACATAGTATTTGATGCTTTATATAGATCGTTGACATAGATTAAGAACAGCAGCGGATCTAAGATGGAGCCTTGTGGAACCCTTATGATATTTTAAGATTGTTTGTCTGAAATCCATCATTTAGAGAAATAAACTGCTTTCGATCAGTTAAGTAACTGGTAAACCATTTATGGTATTCGTGGCTTATTCCATAATATTACATTTGCATAATTCATTTTCACATTTATATCTTTTAAGTATTACATTTTTATATTTCATTTTCATATTTATACTTTTTAAATGCTTAATTTAGAAAAAATAAAAAGCAGGTGATGATTTAATTAGCGATGCAACGATATATTTTTAAAACATTTTTGATATTCGGACTTACGAATCGTCTTTTTTCCTTAAGAATTGGTTAAATAGAACCAAAAATAAAATCACTAGTTACCATCATTCACTTTTTTTAATTATACTTTTGTAAACGTTGTTCTTTTTTATACTATTTGACCAATGTATCCAAGATCGAAAATGTATTGCTGCATCTCTAAGTATAATTATTAGGGGTATGATGTCTACTTTTGGCCTATGTCGATGGTGATGCTAATTGATACAGGTCAATACCGATGCATCGGCCCTTTATTTGAATTTATACTCCTTTTTTTTTTACAAATAGGTATATTAGGATTTTTTCAAATATAATGTTAAGAGTCAATTTTTATGTTTATATATATGTATATATATATATATATATATATATATATATATATATATATATATATATATATATATATATATATATATATATATATATATATATATATATATATATATATATATATATATATAGATTTTATACATAAATAAGTATAAAATTTTATTTTAGCATTTTACAATACATTTACATTTCCTGATTTTAAACTTATATCATTGTGCAGTTTGGAATTATAAGTCATATAATCATAAAATATAAGAAGATACTAAAAATGTAAGGAGCCCCTGATAAAAATCTGTACAAAAAGTATTTAAAGGTTTTTGTTGCTCGTATGCATATATATAACTCAGGTTTATACATGCATTTTCGTTTATCAAATAATTATATTTTTGATTACAATATAGAAACACTTAAATCTGTGGCGAGAGGTATGGAATTTAAGTCTTACTTCTTTATCTTGATTTTATGGGATTGCTATTAGAACAAATTATTAATAATGAACAACCGTGGCGCAATGGTAGCGTACTTGCCTCAGAAACAAAGGATCCGTGGTTCAAACCCCACCTCTGGGCAAGTTTTGCGACATCGGTTAGGAAGGAGGCGTGAACTTTCAATTAAATACTATTTTGCAGTGCTCTGTGATAAGACCGTAAGGACTTCTTGGGGCACCTAAATAGAAAAAATATTTTAACAGATTAGTATTCTTTTGAAAACGTTCTAAATTTAAAGTGGCGGAAACTTTAACTTGGCGGAAACTTTTTAATTTATTTTGAATAATTCAAGCAGCTATCTGGTTGAATAATTCAAAATAAATTTAAATGTATTTTATTAAATTCTAAATAAGTAATTTATTTATTTACTCAAATTATGTTTTATCTAGGTAAGATTTTTCAAGGAACTCCTTGTGCGCTTACGCAGTGAGTTAAGATAAAGTGTATAATGTGGATATTAAAATATTACAGATGTTTATAACTAACTGTAATATACATCTGTAATACTTTAATATCCACATTATACACTTTAACTTAACTAACGTTAAGATAAAGTGTATAATGTGGATATTAAAATATTACAGATGTGTAAAATTAGTTAATGTTGTGTTACTGATGTGTTAAATAATTCTACCTCAAATAATTTGAATTATCTTTTTAAGTTTTCAAAACGCATTTAAATTCCCCTAAAAAATAATTCAAGTTTTTTGAGTTTTTTTTAAAATTTAAACAAAGTAGTAAGTCCTGATGATGTTAATGGCAAAATATTTATAAGTTTTTATTATATTTTTATATAATATTGTTTGATATTTTAGGACATATTTTAAAAAACAATGAATATATTCTTTCTATAAAAAATAAAACAACTAAAAGTTTATAATAAATAAAAATAATACTAATAAAAAAAAATCACGCATAAGCAAAAATCAACAATTATGGCAACTCTCTTTCCTAGAACGAAATGCCAAGTAGGAAGAGCATTCTAATACAAACGTGTTTAGATAAATAAAAAATCGAGGACAGGACAGGGTAACCCAGCAGTTAAGCGACCCAAATTAAATTTATTTTAGCACTATCGTTGGTAGAGAATTTAATAGCACCTTAAAATATTTATTACTTATTAATATTTATTTAACTATTATTATTTTTATTATTGTAAAAAATATTTTTATTAATAATGATAATTGTTATTGTTGTAGGTATATAACTTATTATTATTAATAATAACTTTTATTAAATATTATTATTTTATTTAAAATGCTATTT